AACTAGCTACGGAACTGGCCATGGAACTACTAGCTATGGAACTGGCCATGGAACTACTAGCTATGGAACTAGCTACGGAACTGGCCATGGAACTAGCTATGGAACTAGCGACCGAACTGGCCATCGAACTAGCTATGGAACTACCGAGCTATGAAAAGAGCTGAAAGTTTGGTTACGGACGGACAGCACAGAAGTTACTCCTGGCTGCTTGGTCGTCCAACCCTGGAACTTCGGAATTGAACTTACTTACGTTCATTATGCCTGCATTTGGTGCAAGTTTCAGTCTACATACAAAGATAATGACTGTACGTTCTCTTCGGGGAAAGACGATAGTTGTTCTGATAAGTGACCCTTGGGATTCTGTCGTATTGCCAAACTGTGGGCAGGATACGAAACTTGCAGAAGCATTGTCGGAGCTGAAGCTGAGGGGCATTCCGTATGTGGGAGCTTTCCTTCGTAAGGATCTTCCTAAAGCAAGGAAAGAGTTTGGGGGTAGCTTTGAGGCGGAGCCGGAACAGGGAGAAGCGGAGCAGAGTGCACGAGAGAATGACCAGCATGACCTCCACGAGATTGGCACGTTTGCTCAGGTAAGAAGTGTCGACGACGAGGCTTGACGTTCAGTGCTCTGTGTGGGTGGGTGGGTGGGTGGGTGAGGAAATGCGGCAACATATGATCAATGTGTACAAAAAAAAACTCGAAAAATGATGATATACGAGGTTAGTCTGGCAAGTGCAGAAGTGCAGTACGATTATGAAAAGTGTAGTGATAAACGAATGAGTTACGTGGGCGGAAAAAAAAAACCAAATGTGTTGCGTGCTAAGGGACAGCAATCCAAGGGGCGTCCGCCGTTTTCGAAAGAGATGACAAGGAAGTAAACTGCAGATTGACACATTGGACAAGGAAGCAGTAAATTAACACATTGGTAAGGAGAAAAGACAGAAAATATGACGGAAGGAGAAGTATGTAGTAAGGCTGTAAGGATGTCATCACACTGGTTGAATGAAGGGGAGGTTGGAAGAGGAGAGGGGGGAGGTTGGGAGAGGAGAGGGGAGGTGGGGAGAGGAGAGGGGAGGTATTTGGACAAGGAAACGGTAAATCGACACANGGGGGGGGGGGAGGTTGGGAGAGGAGAGGGGAGGTTGGGAGAGGAGAGGAGAGGTATTTGGACAAGGAAACGGTAAATCGACACATTGGGCAGAAGAAACGATAGAAATCTGACGGAAGGGGAACTATGTAGTAAGGGTGTAAGGATGTCATCACAGTGGTTGAATGGAGGGGAGGTTGGAAGAAGAGAGGGGAGGTCGGGGGGGAAATGAGAGGTACGGATGAGAGGTAGTTTTTTGTTTTTTTTTGGCTCCCTATATATGCTGGTGGGAAGACGTGTCTGTGAATGTGAGTCTTTTGGAATAAAAATCTGCAGTCTCCTCTCTCTTGTCCTGTTTTGCGCTTGGAGTGCACACTGCTGGAGAGAATTTGGGTTTTTAGTAGCTTACTACATTTGAAAACAACCCCATACAAACCTCTTAATGAGAAGATGTAGGTTGAGGTGTGAGTGTGTGAGTGCAGTGCATAGTGTTTTTCTCTCTTTTTGGAAGCAACTTTGATGATAAGAACAGTCTTGCTCTTCGACTGCGTCAGCAGTGCTGTGGTAACAGTTTGCGCGTGTACCAACTTGAGCTAGGCCAGTCAGTGGTGACTTCACTGCTCATGAAGGTTTTTTTTTGTTTTCTTTTTTCTTTTTCTTTTAAGGAAGACAGCCTCGAGATAGGGTCAGCTAAGTAAAGGTAGGAACACTCCTTATCAAGGTGGTAACTTCACTGCTCATGAAGTTTTTTTTTCTTTTTTCTTTTTTTTTTTCCTTTTAAGGGAGACGGCGGCCTCGAGATATCATCATTGAGCTGACCGGTGCAAAGTCATTCAGAACAATGTTATTTCTGTTCATCTGATTGCATCTGGATTCGAACTTGGGTCTGATTCATATTTCAACAACAGTTTATGGGTGTGTGTACCAACTGAGCTAGGCCCGTCGTCAACATCAAGGTTTTTGGAAGCAACTTCAATGATAATAACATTCTCTTGCTTCTTCTATTCCTACTATGTCAGCAATGCTGTAGCTACCAGAGGTCAGGATTTGTGCTGATTGGCGAGAGCGAGGTGTGCAAGAATTGCTGTGTCCGTGTGGTGTTGTGTGTGGTGTGTGTTGAGTTGGACACTAAGACTTGCAGGGGTGGGGGCGGATATCACTTGGCCGGTATGGTTCCCCTTTTGGAACACTGTGTCCTGGCTGTAGTGGTTAAGATACCTGGCTCTTGAGGCCGAGGTCGTCGGTTCAAACTTCAAATCCGTGCTTGCACGATGGAGGGACGCCGGGCTCGTGCTGGGATGGGTAGTGCCATCCTGTAACCTCAGCTGTGGGGGAGCTAGACGTGCAGATTCACTTAGCTGCTGTGGGTGCTATGTAAAAGCAGGATTTTTTTTTTTAATTTTTTATTTTTAAGGCAGGAACACTCCTAATCAAGGTGGCAACTTGACTGGTCATCAAGCGGGTAACCTCAATCTTAATCAAGGTCGCGATTTTGTGTTTTTTGCCAGGTGCACAATGTTATCCGCTTGCTGGACGGAGATGGTGCGCAAGTGTTGCTTATGGGCCATCGCCGGCTGAAGATCACAGGCGTGGTGAGGGAACAACACTCTTTGTGTACGTTGAAAAATATTGAGACAAACAAACAAATAAAACTAAGACGTCCTACTTGTCGAAAACAAACAAAAAAAAGAAAAAAAATCTGTTGCGTAACTAGGCTGAGGGCATACGGAAAGACTGACACTTTCCTGAACGTATCTAACAGCAATTACAGCTAGATGCAATCGAAACAGTGCTAGTGAGAGGGTGACCTTATGTGAGGCGGTTGTCTGTTTCGACATGGGAAGTTGGCCAAGTGAAAGCTGGGAAATTGTGAGGGAAAGGGAGATGGAATGAAAAGAACGAAAACCAAGTGGGGGAGCAGGGGGGGGAGGGGAAGAACGGGAGGAGGATGACATATCAATCATGGGAAGTGGCGATCATTAACCTCCACCTACTGCACAAATGCATTCCAGCCTCCTCCTGTTTGCAGTGTAAGATGGAGAATTGAAATTCTCTCTAGAGAGTTGCAGAGCACCAGAACTTGACATGCATCACGTTTGGTATGTCTTGTACTGATAGTGTTGATTAGGCTGTTCAGGACACGATAGAAAGTCCTTCAGCAAAGGGAAAACACACACAGAGCAATAAAGTTTCCCACCACGTGGGCTTGCAGCTGTATTTGGTTTGCCCACAGATTGTGAAGGAATCCCAAGGCGTACAGCTATGCTTGTCGGGAGCTGAGATTGCTGAGATGTTGCAATGGAAGGTTGCGTGAAGTGATTGGAGGGGGATGTACAGCTATGTTTGTCGGGTGCCGAAAAGATGTTGCAATTCAAGGCTGATAGTCCTGGAGTCGATAAGGCTCGTTTGCGCGGTCTTGGGTCTAGATTCTAAACTCTGTTGAGCGTGTAGTGTTGCCAATGAATTAAGGAAATGAATTAAGGTTCTGTATGTAGTCTTGATGGACGGAAATATGCCTAACAGTTGAAATGACAGTTGAATGACAAGGTATGGATACGTATGCAAATACACACAAGGTAGGACAGGAGTGTCGAGATTTCCCGTGCTCATTGTTGGTGTGCTCCTTCTCGGTTGCTCTTCGTCCCTGCTTGCCCCTCTGCGCAGGCCTGACTCTCTCCATATCCTTCCCATTTGTCTTTCCTGCCTCCCTTTTTGCACTCCCTCCCCTCTCCCTTCTCTCTCCCTCCTGTGCTCATCCGATTAGTCTTTTTGTGGGACTGGTTGTAACAGTTTGGTGGTTTGGTTGTGTTGTTTGTTGTGTCAGGTAGAAAATGATCCGCTAACCGTTTCCGTGGAGCATCTGAAGGTAATGTTAATGGGGACATCATCATAATATCATATCTTTGTCTTGATCTCCTGAATGCTTCTCGTCCCGAGATTGTCTTTGCTATCAGCTGCAGTAAATCCTTCGCAGCTCTCTCTTCTTGGCAGAGGAGGGCGTCTTTTGCTGCTATCTTAATGTCATCCCCTACAAGCTCTCCCCTTTGTGTTAGTCCGTCTCAAACTCTGGTATGTGTGTGGATCTCTCTGAATACAATGCATGGAGTCATGAAGTTGAAAATGGCTCTCTCACCGCATGTTGGTAGCAATAGTGAAAAATTGAAAATAGATGTAAACAGTTCATACGGTTGCTGTGGTTTAGGGTGCATTCCATGAGAAATGTTGTGGCATCTTGCGTACACCACTCGAAGAGTCAAAATAAGCTTGATGATGGTGATGATGATGATGATGATGAGGGGTAAACACAGGGAGCAGCGCAGAGGGAACAAGGAGATGAAGAGGAGAACGAGAGTCGGGAGGATGGAGAGGAAATGAAGATAAGGAATGCAGAGGATTGTGGTGCATTCTAGTAAGAAAAGGAGGAAGAAAAGAGCGGAGCAGCTGAGTACAAATTCCGGAAGAGGCAATCAGGTGGAGATCCGGAGGGGAGTTACACTGAGGAGGAAGAGGAGGTGGGGGTGGTTCAAAGGATGGATAGGAGGAGGAAGGGATGCAGACGAACTATTAGAGGACGGAGAGGAAATGACGATAAGGGACGTAAGAGGATAATGGTGCATGGCAGGAAGAGGAGAAGGAAGAAGAGTGTGGAGCAGTTGAGTAGAAACAGTGGAAGAGCAATCAGTGGGAGATCCGGAGGGAAGTTACAGTGGTGAGGAAGAGAGGGGGCCAAGTTTTTTTTTTTTTKGGGGGGGGGGGGGGGGGGGGRGGTTGTGTCCAAAGGATGGGTAGGRGGAGGGGAAGCAGACAGCTATTAGAGCAGTCGTATGGTGGTTGTTGCTTCTGGGTATGAGATCTGATGTGTGCAATTTATTGTGTTACTCACATAGCGAGTTAATGGGTAAACTGTTAACTCATGAACTGTTTGAATCTCAGCTCCCTGTACAAGTGTGCTTCACCCAAGTCATCAGATAACAGTGTGATAAGCTCAGCTGGAAGTCGGTGCATGCGACTGTGATGATTTTGCGGCTGGAATTTGCACTTTCGCTTTTGTTTTTTCTTTACGTCATAGAAAAGTAGAACACCAATATTGGAACGGTACAAAGAAGATTAGCATGGCCCCTGCGCAAAGATGACACACATAAATCGAGAAACGGTCCAAATTAAAAAAAAAAGAAAAAAAAAAAGAGCACCATTACTGCAGAACCACAAATGATTGACATCTTCTGGAATATGGTACAGAGAACTACAAACTCTGGACTTATGGACGAGTACTGGAAAGTGATATGGACATTGAAAGTGAAACAGAGAGCAGCTGCCTCAATCTTTCCATGTTGCCCTCAGTGGGTGCATCTGGGCACAACAGGTTTACATATGTTGAGGTTGTTCGACCCTCCTCCAGCCCAGACACTTCACAGCCATTGCATACAAGTTAAGGATTCCGTACTACCTACGTCATGCTCCGTGCCTTCCAAGATGTTCCACCACATAGCAGGATTACGAGGCTCCCCTTGCCGGTTTTGCGAATTGGTAAAGGATGCTGGCTTGCAAGCAGGTAACCGTGGACGTAATACGGATATCCTTTGGTGACCGTGCTTATCATTCTGTTTGTGTTTGCAGGACAAACCGTATGATGCCAACAATGATGTGATCAAAGCCACAGTTATGGAAGTGGTGTCCACAATGAAAGACTTGATGAGGTTGAACCCTCTATACAAAGAGCACATACAAATGTTTGTTCAAGTAAGTGGATTGCACTGATTTTTTTTCCTGTTCTCTCTGAGCTCAGCCCTGTTTAGCTCTGCCCCCTTCCTCTGATCTTCAGTCCGATGCCCACTCCTGATGAGAGATGTGTTGCCAATTCTATGGATAAGTAGAAGTAAGGGCAGAGACGTGGTGTGGGTGGAAGAAAGGATATCACTTCACTTGCAGTGGGAATGGCTGCGGTGGGTGAAAAGGAAGATGGGGACCAAGAGGAATGAGAGAGCATGTGGAAGGAGGAAATACGTGGAACAAGTGAAGAGTAATGTGAGAGAGAGGGAGAATGCAACAAGAGGAAGTAAAAGGCAGAAATGAGAATACAACATAGTTTGATGATGCTGTTCTGGCGTTTTTTACAATTATGTAAATGTAAGATTCTTGAGAACTATCAAGCCAAATACTCGTCAAGAAACGTCAGCTATTTCGTAGACTCTTGGATCCACCTTGTGGAGATGGAATTTAACCAAAAGAAAACTGTAAGTAGGAGGGGAATCTTGAGGGTGTGGAGGAGGAGGAGGATGAGGATGAGGAGGAGGAGGAGGAGGAGGAGGAGGAGGAGGAGGAAGTGTGGAGATGAAACCTGAGGAAGTGGCAAAGGACGCGGCCACTTCACGTGGCACAGTGTTTCCTTTTGTTTCTTTTTTCTGTGCTGGCCGTGGCGAGACTGTGCTCGAATGGGAGGTGTGTGCGGGTCTCAGAAGCTACGGATTTGTCAATAGCGCTTTTTCGTCCTTTACTTGGCTATCGTACCATAGCCTCACTGGTTAATGGCTGCTTACTTTTGCTTTTGTAGCATTTGTGCCAGGCTTCTGAAGTTTTTTTTTTGAATTTTTTTGTTTCTTCAACCCCCCCCCCTCCTCCTATTCTGGGGGGGCGTCAGTCGGATTGATCATCCCCGGCAAGCAAAATATACAAAACAGAACGTTTTTTTACAGGTACCGCACCCTCAGCTCCTCCCCTTTCCTCCCCCTTCCGTTTCCCCTTCCCCTTCTGAGTGGCTGGGGCGATGGCCCAAGGGGTGTCTGCTTTAGCCGGGAGACTCACCATGGTACCCAGTCGCTCTAACAGCTATCCCTTGAGGTCCTCCGCCCCCCACTTTTCCAGGGTGGTCGATGACAAGAAGTTTAAAACCTATGCAGGTGCCAACAACCTTGGGCAGAAACCTTTTGAAGTCCCAACAACCACGTGCAGACTAACTGACGCTTTAAACCACTAGTGCACGGCCCCAGCCTTGCAGTCCGGAACTTGTCGCCACAAGAAAATGAGGCTGAAACATCAAGCGCTGGGCCTGCCGTTGATGAAATGGATCGGCGGTCGCGTTTTCGTTACGCGCTTCCAGATTTCGAGGTGTCAGGCCTGCGGCCCAGATGCCCATGTTCTGGTGCTCTAAGCAAAAGTTGCATCGTTGGCTAGGGTGGGACTGGTTCCTTTGTTCTTTTGCTGTGTGTGTGGCAGAGGACTGATAACCATGGTTACAATCTGGATATCTGGGCGGCCTTCCGAACTGCCTGGTAGTTCAGGTTGGTATGCTGTACGGGTTAAGACATGCAGGTAAATAAAGAATCATCGCTGATTAATAATGTGTGAACTTGATTTCGGAAATTTAAAATTTATGAATATTAAAAAAAAAAAATCTGGAAAAAAAAGATGTTATGACAGTTATGTAGCAGCATGATATAATTTTGGCTGACGGTCATCTCGAAAATCATAGCCAAAATTGACAGCGAAAATAATAAAATATTCCATTTCTTCTTTTCAGTAACTTTTTTTTTTTTTTTTTTTTTTGCGCTATGTTTTTTCATGTAAGCTTGGTCTATCCATCCTGGCCGTAACAAACAACCACAGGACGGATGCCCAAAAAATTCGGACTGACGGATATCCGGACAGTGCCTGGAAAGCCTGTCTTGATGACTGTCTGGACATGTGGAATGTTTGGATGACAAAATATTTGCGAGGAATGAGCCCTCACGGTGCCCTCACAGACATGCAAGAGTTCTGGGCCGTGGCCCCAGCAAGCATTGTGCCAGCCCTAAGTGAAGGCGGGCGTGAATATCCACGCGAGGCTTCTTTTTTTCGACATTTTTCCATGTGGGGTACCAGACAGTTGCAGCACGCCAGTTGGTTACAAAGCAACGTGAGCCTTTGCTGGCTCCTTCCAGAAGCAACAGCTGCGCTGCACAGTTGAGCCCAGGGCCCCGGTTGGTTGCGCCCTGGGCACACAGTGGGAGGCCAACACATCACGCAGTGGCCACACAACCTCCGTGGGCCAATGAGAATGCGGCAAACATTTGGAGCCTGGATGGCTGCCTGGACGTGCCCAACTGTAAAGGTCCCAGGCCCGTAACAGCAGAGGTGGGCCTGGGCGGAGATACTGGGGCCCGACTGGAAGCTACTGGAAACTTCCCCAGCCAGGTCCACACAGCCAGACAAGGGCCGCACTTTCCGTAAAGGAAAGTGCCCTGCCGAGGCAGCGCCATTCAGGCCTGAGCAGGCAATGTGGCCACACTGCTGCACTGCCTTGCGATGCTGCGCTAAGCAGCCAGGCCCGGGCGCATGAGGTGAGAGGGCGCTGCGGTGGCAGCGTGGGCGCACGACGGCGATAGCCGGGCCGAGCGATGCGGTGCAGGTGATGGCGATGGTGGTCTTCGGGTAGGAGGCGCATGAGGTGGGGTGTCGAGGGGTGATGAGGGAGGAGAGAGAACATACCTGGTGTATGCCAGCAGTCGGCATTGATGATGATGTCATGTACATTGGTCTTCAACTTCGATGTGATCCAGTTGCATGAACATAGATAGGTGTAGGTAGGCTGAGTAGTGTAGGCTCGGTGCTGGGCGCCAGACTGTGGGAGCAACATTGGATACTGTGTTGGTGTGGCCAGAGAGCGTTGATATTGGCACACAAGTTCATTGTATTGCTCTTATTTGGATGGTATCTTGGTGCATATGCGCTCTCTGCTTAGTACATGAGTATCTGGACTACTCGTGACTCTGCAACTTGGATTTCTGTCTATCGCTCTCACTCATATTCCTTACATATTTGTCTTCTTAAAGTTCTTTTCAATTTTCGCGTTTTTTTTCCTTCTTGTTTTTTCCCCTTTTCGTTTGTTACTCATACCAATGAACGAAGGAAGGGTAGACACGAGGATGGCCAGCAGGCACAACCCTACCGCCTTCACCCGAATAGAACGCCCGGTCATTATTGCTGTATTTAGACTGAAAGTTGGCCCAAATGCATACAGCTATAACGACCAGGTGTTCTATTCGGGTGCAGACGGTAGCACTCTGGGATGGATTGCAAGTTTATAAGTGCAGGGGCCGTCCAAAGTGGACTACCCGCCACGGCCTGAGAGGAATGTGCAGCTGTCGCTGGAAAAGAAAATGGACATGTACTAAAATTCCGTTTGTTTCTTTTTTCCTTTTCTTTTGGGGTGGCTCATAGCCTCACTGACCGCCCTGGCGTACCCCAAGTTTCTTTTCCGTATGACAGCGGGGTCTGGATACGGGCAGTCTGGTTTCCTGTTAGGGTACCGGGAGTTCAACCGTGATTTGTTTGGGTGCTCTAGATGAATATTTGACAATCTGTAGACCCTGTTGTGTGCTCTGGACCGTCAACAGAACCAACCTAAGACACCCACTCTAGAGCCCAATGATGCATACTTAATGATCTGCTGACCATGTTGTTGTGGTCTGGATTGGTTGTCCCAGCTGTTTTACGGTTTGTCGCAGAATCCCAAGAGTAACCAACGGGCCTAGCTCAGTTGGTACACCCATGAACTGTTGAAATACAGACCCAAGTTCGAATCCAGGTGCTATCAGATGACCCCCAAAAAAAAAGAAAAAAGAAAAAGAAAAAGACTTCCAAGAGTAATCGTTGTCAGTGGACTGAGTGTGTTTCTCAATCGTCAAAGTTGGATGATGTGAAGAAGGCAGGCCCTCTTGACTGTCAAGTGGCTTTTGACACATTTTGTGGTCTTGGTATCGCGAAGCTAACCTTTGCTGTTCCGTGATCTTTTTTTGTTTTTTAAATTCCTTGGACACTTTTGGCAACCTGTTATTGCAGCATGTGGGGGAGTTCAACGCTGCTCGACTTGCGGACTTTGGAGCTTCGTTGACGACTGCCGACGAACCGGCATTGCAGGCAGTACTTGAGACTCTGGAGGTGCTGTAACTTTTTATGAATCCCTTGTAGTACTTTTTCATCAATCCTTTGTACTACTTTTTCAGTGCATCATTGGGCATAGCTAGCAGGTCTTCCCCCATCTGACACTTGGCTTCCCTGGTCGCTCTGTTTCCTACTCTGCACTGCTACCTGTGCTGGTATGGCTTTGCTATCCTGACCCTTAGTGGGATTGCTTTGCATATCTTGTGGTCATTGCAGTGCATCTTTTCCGTTGCTATGTTGTGATCCCGCTTTTATGGATCTCTTGTGGTTTATTTCAATGTCTTAGCAGGGCGTCTGTTTGTATTGGTCGTTGCGCTGGCCCTTAGGCATTCTCAATCTTTTTGGTACTTGTGTGTAATAGCACGTGCTCTCTCTCTCTCTCATTCCAGTTGCTTCCTCGTATTTGCTCTTGTCCTCTCGCTCCCATTCTATGCCTCATTGCCTCATGTGCTTCACTTTACTGTAGCCATGACTATGTGTCCTTTTTTTGCCTTTTTTTGCTCTCTCTCTCTCTCTCTCTCTCTCTCTCTCTCTGTCTCTCTCTCTCTGTCTCTCTCTCTCTGTCTCTCTCTCTCTCTCTTGCTGCGTGTATGTTTTCATCCAAATGGTGAATTGACTCTTCTGATTGTTCCCATTCCCTCCGCTGGAATTTGCAAGTGGCAGTACACAGATTTTTATTTTAATGAGTGGATTGGTGGACTCAGAAACCAGTCCATAAAAAAACGCACATTCACCTCGTGAACAAAGACATAAATGTGAAATCAATAGAGTGATGGAACACTGTTGACTGGGACAAGGTTCGCTCAGCTGGCACCAATCAGCCAACCATTCCGAGGTTCAGTGAACCCTTTTCTTAACTGCCCCGCCAATGCACCCAATCCTAAACCTCATCTACTCTCTATCTAATCAATCACTACATCATAATCGCTCCGGCCGGATTCCCTGCTTACACAGAATTTCAAAGGGGCAATTTCTAGAATTTTGTTTCCAATACACAGCAATGAATCATTGGGTCTGTCCTCCTCCCCTACCTGACCACCCTCATATAAGTGCACTGTGCAGTTATGGTGATATACCTTGTGGTCTGTTGCAACTTCCAACTGATATCTTTTACGTTACATTGCAGATAGAGAAACGTCTTAACATGACACTGTTACTACTGAAGAAGGAGCTGGAGCTGAGTAAACTGCAGGTTGGACTTGCACCCTTCTTTCCCTCTATCCCTCTATCCCTCTATCCCTCTATCCCTCTATCCCTGTATCCCTTTATCCCTCTATGCGTCTGCCTGCTGATGCACGGGTTCTTTGGTTTGTTTGCCCATCTAGCATGACTCTATTATGTGTGCGTATGTCGTTGTATGCTCTTTTGTCGTTTTTATACTGTCTGTATCTCGCGTTTCGTTTTTTTTTGGGAAAACTAGGGCGCTGTAGCGGTTTCAGTTTGAAAATGTGTTTGAGTCATGATTTCGCTGATGTTGTGAAATGAACCAAGTGCTCGTCAAGTTCAACCTCGCATACATCAATGAATATTGACATGAGAGTTCACATGCGAGAAGCCAAACCGAGATAAAATCGACACATGAAGATGTGGTCTCCTAAATTATTATCAATATACAAGAAGTTTTGTCTCCAGTGGCTCTGCCACACACACAACGGGTCTCAACCAGATAGCGGCTATGGCTTCTCTCTTCTCTTGCTCTCTCTCTTTTTCTTGCTCCTCTCTCTGACTTGGCTCGCTCTCCCTCCCTCTCTCTCTCTCTCTACCCTAGATCGTCACCCTGGATACACCCACTCAGTAAGCTTACACCGTGGCGGCTATGGCCGCCCTCCTCCTGCACTACCTCTAACCTAGCTATGGAGTAACTCACGTGCGCCCTCTTCTTCTTCAGGCGCGAAGTGCCCAAGTTGCCTTAATGCACAAGCAGCAGCAGCGCTTCTGCATATCACAATTGAACAAGTGATGAGTCGCTGCACTGTAGCAGCTAATTATAGGACTTTACTTGGCTTGGTCTGCTCCAGACCGGTACCGGTCAGCCGCAGCCTGTCTGCTGCAAACATTTTGTCGGTCCGGTGCCTTCTGGACTTTCCTCGGACATGCTGCAAAATTGGACTTGGGACTGTTGGACTGGACTGGACTTTTCTTGTCGGGTACGGGACGGAATTCTACCGACCTACGGCGTTTCGGTACCGATGCCTATCAACCTACGACGCTTCAGCCTACTGACCCTACGGCCTATCCTACTGGGACAGCCTGGGACTGGGACACATCGGGACTCTGGGACTGAGACTGGGGTGTCTGCAGCGTGAATCCTTTCAATTGTGTTGAACCGAGGAAAAACGAGAATGTATACAACCCAGCTTTAGGGTTGGGTGGGGATGTGTTTTATTCAAGGGATGCCTGAACTGGATTTAAAACTGAAATCGTGACTGCACCCTCGTTACCCCCCCGCCTTTTTTTTTTAACCTCCTTGGTGCTTCGTTCCATTTTCAGTGCAATCCAAGCATTGATAGTGTTCACTAACATCACTGCAACCGCATTGGTGGCATATCTCTCAGATCGAGAAGCTTTTTCTATGTTTTGTGCCGTCATTTCTGATGTGGCCTCCGACCGGTGAGAGTCTGTGTAGTGCGGTCGCGTTTTCATCATGCCAAGAGTCTTTATTTTGAAGAATTTTGCCAGTTCAAAATAATATTAACCTCAACAGAGTAGGTGGCAGCAACTGCATGGAGAAGTGGAAGCTTGACTTACTGTTTTGGGTAGAGCCTGCTACTCCATTGAACCACAAGTCCCAGTGGAAGCAGTTGAAGTTCCACCTTCCTGCTCTGGGTTCTACTCGCATACTCTCTCCATGTGCATGTACAACTCCGCGCCTGTTAAGCTTCAATGAAGACCCTGGTTACAATCAGAGGTAACAGGTTCGGTCCCATTTCATGACTTGGTGGAAGGTAAACAGTTGCCTAAAGTATCGTAATCCCCAGGTTCTTTCCAAAATGAAAAGATTACGGTATGGCCAGTCCTCTTGCTTGATTGTTTGCCGCATCATCATGACATGTTGATCTCTGTCGTCATCATGGGCTTGTGAGTTTTCAGCAAGGTGATGATTTTGCTCACCTCCCTTTCTGGTTGGTTAAGTGATAGAGAGATTCGATCACTGGTTCAAGAAGGGGGTTTGGGGAAAAACAAATGATCGTGTTAGGGAAGTAGTGTGGATGTCCAATGAAATTTGCTAATGGATCAGTATGGAAAGGGGTTGGCTCACCGTGAACCCCCCCTCCCTGGGATGGCCTGGCCTAGTGTTCAAGGCTTCAAGCAAAGGAGAAGTGAATTATCAATTATCCTGCACGCCTTTGTTAGCACTCTGCTGACCGCTGTTTCTCTATTTCCTGGTTGGTATGGACGTGTGACTCCTGCAGGCTGACATCGGAAAGCGTGTGGAGGAGAAGATCACTGGAGAGCAGAGAAAGTTCTTTCTGATGGAGCAATTGAAGTCCATCAAGAAGGTATCTGTGCCATGGCAATTGCTGGTCGTCTGGATCTTGCAGTCTATTTGTGAGAAGGGTTTGCTATTCTACAAACAGCTTGGGCGCGACTAATGCATGTGACTTGAATTTTTTGTCCGTTTCTTGTCCATTTCTTATGCTCCCCATTTGTTTTCTGGTTCTTGATTGTCAGTCTGATGGCTTGCGTTCGGTCGTCTATCCCTGCAGGAACTCGGATTAGAGAAAGATGACAAGACAGCCTTGATTGGTGAGTATGGATAATTCTTTTGTGAACGACTTTCATAACAGCTATACCTGTTCTTTTTTTTTTTTTTTTTTTTTGGGACTTCTTTTTTGTGTCTGGTGTTCTGTTCGCAGTGGTGAGTTTGTTGTTCATGTTTTGTTTTCATGACAGTTGAGTGCCGTTGCACGTGCTATTTCACAGCTGCAGTCCGCTTGGTCCACATGTTCAGCAGGAACTCACACAGCTGCAAGGTATTGAACGTTGGACGTTGACATTGCCATTGGGGATCTGCTTTGCGTTCACAGATACTGGGGCTCGTCACACAACTGTCAAAACGAAAAACGAACGAATGCATCTTCCTGCGGAGAAGGGCAAGATACATCCGTTAGTATGAATAGCAATGGATGCATCTTACCACTTTCTGTGGGAGATGCATTGGTTCTCTTTTCGTTTCGACTGTGGTGTGGCGAGGCCCACTGTTGCATGGTATTTGTAACGTGATGGGCTCACACGTGCACCCCATTCCCAGAGAGAAGCCGTAGGAAGAGACTGTTTGAGTAGTAGAAGAGACTGGTTAAGTAGGGGCCTAGGCTAATGGTAGGGGCTCTGTCTGTTGAGTCGTTACCAACCCGACAAAGTCCATATTCATGGGATCTGGCCCTTGATTGCAGGGATCTATACCTCAGTTAAACCACCAACACCTGGTGGAGGTGAGCAATCGTGCCTCAGAGCCCCAGAGAGGTTCAGGCTGACATCAGCTGGGCGCTTGGGAGACATATACTGGAAAAAAGGTACCGACTGGCCCTGATATGAGCTGCACATTGTCCTGCCTCCTGCCTCACAGCAAACGGGGTGGACAAGTTTGGCTCCGATTGGTAAGGGCTGAGGACCGTTGTGGGAGGGCGGGATGATGTGGGTCAGGAACAAAAATAAGAGGGGAGGTGTACAGGGAAAAAGGAGATGAATCTGATGAAGGCTAATTAAGCCAGGTATGGGCCACCTGAAGTCCTCATTGGAAAAGTCAACCTAACGGTTACCATCAATGTCTGCCAGGCTGGTGTTGCGTGAACCAGGAAGTCAACGCCTGGCGTCACACACTTTTCCTCATTTCTGCCTTCCAGCTTCTGACTTGGAATGTGATCGGCGAGAGAATGTGGTATGGAAGAATAGGCTCGGAGAGACTGGTGGTTCAAACCCCCACTACATTTCAAGACCACCAGTTACCAGGAGCCCTGCCCTTTTTCAGTTGGTTCCTTGAATCGATGATCTGATAGCCACAGGTCTTGTTTTTCCTTGCAGGGGATGGCCTGCTTTTCAGAAGGTAGTGGAGGGTTGAGAAGGAAGAGAGCTAAGCATGATAAGCATGATGGTATAGATTGGGGATCAATGGTTTGGTGTAGCCTAAGTGCCGTTTCATGAGGAAAGTGTGCTCGTTGGTGTACACAGTGGCAGTAGTTACCTTCTTGTACGTCTGCAGGCCTTGCAGGAAAACAGTCCCTGCGGACCTGCAGCTAAAAGTGGCCTGGGCTTTATGTGGGAAGAGTAGCGCATAGGGTTGCACGTAGGGTGCTTTCAGTTGTTGATGCAAGCATAATTTGTGTTCTAATCGTTAGGGAGGCAGTGTGATGTCCCTAAGGTTCATGTTATTTCGTCATTTCCTTCTCTCTTCTCTTCTTCTTCCGTCCGCTGAGTTCATGCATCCACTCTACTAAAAGGTGTGCATTAACAGTTGGGTCATTGCAGTTGGCACTCGTTCGAAATTTGTGAAAGATACTGATGGGGCCACTAGAGTGTGTTGAACTGTATTGCCAGGACTTGGAAACCTGCAAAATATATTTATGGTTTTGTCAGAATGTATCTAGATGCTGCCTCGCACTGGTAGAGATAATGCACCTCCTTGTTGCCGCATTCAGGTAGTTCTGGCAAGGAGGGTTTCTCCTTTTCTTGCCAGTTCCGTTCTTCCACCCCCAGGTGTGATACTCATCTCTTAATTTGTAGGGGATTACATATGATTGAAAATTTGGTTTGTGTGGGTGGGTGGGTCTGTGCGTCCGTGGATGGGTGGGTGGGTGAGTGTGTGCGGGGTGGGTGAATGCGTGGGTGGGTTTGTGTCTTGGTGTGTGTGTGTGTGTGTGTGTGTGTGTGTGTGTGTGTGTGTGTGTGTGTGTGTGTGTGTGTGCAGTTGTGTGTGTTTGTTTGTGGGTGACTCCCCGAGTGTCCACAACTGCGGGGTCTGTATTCTGTTGAAGGCTGGTGGGAATGAAGTGTGTCTTTCATAGAGGTTTGGAATGCTTGTGATTCACATTATTCTGTTTCCACTAATAGTGAATCTGTTCTTATGAGTTGGTTTTCGGATTGCAACAGGGAAATTTGAGGAAAAGTTGGCTCCTTTCCGCTCGGGCTGCCCCCCTCAGGTGTTGCAGGTCATTGAGGAAGAGATTATAAAGCTGCAAGGGCTGGAGACGAGCAGTAGTGAATTCAATGTGACACGGAATTACCTCGATTGGCTTACGTCCATCCCCTGGGGATACTTCAGGTGAGGACTTCACCTGTCTGGATGGCAGATGTTTGCAGCAGTGAATAGCAAGAATCTGGTCTGTTTTTGGCACTTTTCCACTAGATTTGCTCATTAATTAAAAAAAAACAAAAAAAGACGTGCAGCGCATTCTGAGGGGCATCAGTCCGGTTACTTATCACTGGCAAGTATGAGTTCAAGTGTGCAAAGCATCTCCAGAAAAGGGGACAACCTCACCCTTGTGGTCCTAGACGCCTGTCAAGGGAGGGACTGCCACAACCGAACCCTCCTTCGATGCCATGGTCTCCCCGGGATACTTTTGCTGGCCGGGAAGCTTCCTAGCAGCACCCAAGGGAGGGGCCCGAGGGGGCCGTCGTAGCAGTCTCTCAGGCCGCTCGTCATCCGTCCTCTTGTTAACTACTACAAAGTAGTACAAACCGTTACAAAACTATATCTCCTATATCCAACTTCCTGTTGTACCTACCCTTATTGCCTATGTAGTTCTTGCTCCCCTCTCCCCTCTCTTTTAAGACCCCCTATTTCCTTTTCCACTTCCCTTCTTTCCAGTCTACATTCCTTAACCTCCTATTACACCAACCCACAGTTTGAATATAACCTAAGAACAAATCCTTCCTTCATTTGTATTGTTTCCCCATCATTTACTCACCGTTGTACCCGAAGTTGTCCTTTCTTTTTTTTTTTTTTGGCTTTTACGACTTTTGCCTTCTCCCTCTCCCCCCCCTCTACCCTCCCCCTTGTCAACATCTCTTCCTTTATTCCACTGCTTCCTATCTATTTCTATATATTTCGATCTATTCGACTGACTGCTGTTCATCTCATCTTTCTCTGGTCCGGGCACAGAGTGCTTCAGGACTGGGCCAAACTGCAACTGCTGTGTACAGGGTTCCCGGGTCATCATCAATGGATACGGGCCCCATCTTTGCCAAAATCCTGCCTCTTTTGCTCCCCCTATGCATCTACTTCGATGCAGATCTGCCAATAGGGCAATTCTGATATTCTATATTGCACGCTCCTGGCAGGCCCGTAGTGGTGGAGACACTCCTTGCCTGCATCTTTTTCATTCCTCAATGTCCATAGGGCCCATAGCACTGGCGCCCTTACAATCTCTTCAGCCACCAACTCCCCCAATCCCTGCCTATTGACCCTGATCAAGGTTCCCAATAAGATCTCTGCGTCGGTCGTCTCGTAGACCTGCAGCGGTGTCTTGTCTGCAACTTCCTGCGCGCACCATTCCCAAAACTCCTGCACCATTGGGCAATGCACAAAAAGGTGGGGGATGGTTTCAACCTGGCCACATCCTGGAGCGCAAGTTTGGCCCTTATAGCGGCTTTTAGTAGCTTGCCACTGCACAGACGGGATTGCTAGGTGGTAGATCTGCCATAGCAAGCCCGCCTGCTTCTGATCTGGTAAAGCTGCCATAATATTACACTGTTCATTCCACCTTCGCTGCGTCCAGTTATTAAGTCGCGCGTCCGAAAGCCATTCTCGCTTGGCCCACCTCCCCTTCAGTTCCCCACAGATATTCACCGGTTCCAACAGGGAATTATATATATTTTTCATGGTCACCTTTTGGAGCGGCATAGTCTTCTTATGCATCCTCCGAGGCAGCCATTCCCAGTCCCTCGGGCTCCATGTTAAGTCCCTCAGCCGGGATGCCGCCCGCAACGGCAGATATTGTCCAGCCGCCTTCTTCCCTCCTTCACACAACGCTACCATCTCCACCAGAGCTCGTGCTATCCTTGTCATGGCGTGCCATTCTTGCAGCGGTTCCCCCATTCTTTCCCGTCCCAAACTCGGCCTCATTTGCCATTCAGTGACCTCCAGGTTTCCGCTCGGCAATGCCTGTTCGACCATGTAGAACCTCTCAGGCGCTGCGTTCCCTTGAGCTTGACCCACTGTCCTGCTGCTACATCATCTTTTTTTAGCATCTCCACCCACTGAGATGGAATAGCCTCTCTCAATTCCTTAACCCGTTGCCTCCTCCTCATCCGTCCCCGGAGGGCTATCACCATCTCTTCATCTGCTCACCAGTTCTTCTGGTTTTCATCCCAGAGATGTGCCACCTTGAAAATACCTTGCTCAGCCCGCTTCCATCCATATGCTCCTCGCGGCCCTTGCCATGGGTAGGGATCCCCTGCCTCTTCGCAGATAAAGCGATTATCAAAAAGCAGCTGGTTGTGTCCTGCATCTGCTGTTTCAGGGAGGCGACACCTCACATGGACTCTCTTCTACAACGCCAACTTTTGAGTCCACAGTGTCCCTCTGCGGATGTGACCGATTGCCGAGCTGCTAACCAAGCAGAGATCCAGTCTCCCTCGGTACCTGGAGCACATATGCAAGGTGCAACTGCGTTACCTCCTGCCAAGTCGTGCCCTCTGTGCGCAGGAGGGCCCAAATGAGTTGTCAAAGCTGCAGCGCTATTATTTGCAAACGCGTATCTAGCAGGCCCAATCCTCAAAGCTTCTCGGCTAAGTGAGCTTACTCCAGGCAACTCTGCAAATAGAGTCCCCTTCCCTTGCATTATTTGACCAGAGATGCACATGAACCGCCCTCTTAATGCAGCGGAAGGTGCATTTTCCTGGCATGTGTATTGCTCCCGCGTACCACAATGTAGCCAACACCGAATTCTTAATCACTATAGCCTTTCCAAAGGGCCCCATACTACCTCTCGCACTTCACTTTTGCAGCCTGGCCACCGCCGCAGTGGCTAGCATCGCCGTCTGTTCAATTCCCCCCTAACTCCGTGTCGGTTGGCCCCCTAAAAGGCCATTCTTTCCCCTTCTCCTACGGTCGGAGTATCCCATCCTTCCGGGGCTTCCACTTCGAGTGGTAGGATGGCCTTGGACATCTGCCAGTTAACACGGGCGCTCGAGTACCTGCAGAAGAGTGCCAAGTCCGCTTTAAGGATGTCAAGTTGTTGAGCTGTCGGGAGGATCACTGCTCCAGTATCATTGGCAAAGGCTGTAGACTACAGTTCCGCCTTTGGCTACTCCTTGAGACTGATCAGACGAGTATCAGCCCTCAGTAGTTCATGCATTGACTGTATGTAGATGACATAGAGAGCTGGAGAGAGCGGGCACCCCTGCCGCACCGATCTCGTAACTCGCAGTTTATCAGACCTCACCCCATTCACTTGCATCACAGTCGAGGCGCCATCCAGCAGACAGCGAATCCAACTTGCGCACATCCTCCTTTGCTACCTTCTTGCACAACATGACCACATACGCATCCGCAAAGCCTTGTGGAAGGGCTCCCTGCTTGAGCACCTCTTTATATGAACATGGCATTCCATCCAGGCTGGGCGCTTCAAGCCTAGGGAGTTCTGTGATCACTCCTGCCACCTCCTCCTCAGTGATTTGATGCTGGGATTGCCTTCGGTGGGCGACCCAACCTCTAGTAGGCCCACCGGAAACGTTGCTGTCACTGCTGAGTGGTCTGTTGCAGCCATCGGGGTGATCCACACTTGCTCCACTGTTTCACTAAGACCCTCCGACGCCCATATCATGTCAATCCGGCTTCTCCGGGTCATGGTGTTCCCTGAGAAAGTAAAGGCCCTCTCTTGTGGGTACAGTGTTCTATAGGAGTCCGTGCATCCAAGCCTTGTCATTCCATTGACCAATGCCAGAGAGTCTGCATCCACCTGCCGTGCAGCTCGCTGAGTCCCGTTCAAGATCTACAAGTGAATTAAAGTTGCCTGCAGTAATGAGGTTGTTGATGTCCGGGACTAGCGTTTGCAATCGTTCCCACATCCGGCGCCGTCTGCCTACCTTTGTTGGCCCATATACTGTAACCACCCCCCAGGTTACTTCCCCCCATTTCAGCAGCACCCAGGCCCACTGACCCCTAGAATCGTAGTACCAATCTGACACTGCTTCCCTAAAATGTGGGGAGATGAGAATACAAACCGCTCCTCTCGTGCCCTGTGCCGGGGCCCAGATCTGATGGCCCTTCCACCATAACATCGGCTCTATTGTCCTGGCCTCATTCAGCTTGGTCTCCTGCAGGCACACCACATCAATTTGCTCTGCTTTGACTTTTTGGCCTGGTCCTTTGGCTTGGGTAGCAGCGACTTAGCCCCCAGGCCTCTCACATTCCAAGTCAGCAGTTTCAGTCTGTTGCAGTTGCTTCCTACTCCCATCCTAGTCCCTTTCAATCTAACACCCACCCTATTCTTCTCCGCCCTTCTACCCTTTCTATATCTACCAACCTTCACATTCTACTCCCGAACTTACCTAAGCTCCTAACGCCGTCTACTGATCACTGGGGCGGTGTCTTCATCCAAGCGACACCCATACAAGATAATATACATCATACATCCCGCCCCTCCCTACTGTATCCTCCTCACTCCCCCCGCTCCCATATGCCCGTTCCTTTTTGGAACTGCTTCCCCCCCACTTGTTCCTCCTGTACCAGGTGCGCATTAACGCTACTAAGTACGTCTAGGGAGGTCGCATGCACCACGTGATAATCCTGAGAGAGGGCCGTAGGGCCAAAGGCCTCGGCAAACCGTATCCAGTGCATGCCGTTTACTCCCAGCCTCGGAGATCCTGGCCTCTTGGGAATGGATTCCACAAAGTATATGAAAATTATGTATTCCTCCCCATCTGCTGTCTGTCTAACAGATAGTGATGCCGATATCTGAGGCAACGCCACCACTTCATACCTCGGACCCAGCTATCCAGCAACTTTCTTCAACATCTGCTGTTCCTGAGGCAGTCTTGTCACTCCGAAAATTGGCAACTCCGTTGCCCCCTCCAGGAGCATTTTGATCTCCTCCGGTGCGCGCCAGAGGGCTATCGTCAAACGGAGCCTTCCCCTGCCTTCATGATATCATTCAACCTAGCCCCCACTCGCTCCTGCCATACCAGCCCAGCCAGCTGATTTTCCGGATCCTGTCGCCGCTGACTCTCTTGCTCCTGCAGGCTCCGATTCTCTGGACTTGTCGACTCTGCTACTGCGGCCCTTACTTCCGACCCCTGCTCCTGCTGTGTGTGTTGTCCCTCGTCTTACGGCATGTCCTGCTCCTGCTGCCCCATTGGCTGATGAACTGATTGTTCGTCTTCCCCTGGGCTATCCGATGTCTCCGTTGCCGAGGTCTCTGACGAATCCTCCTCTTGACTGCTCGTTTGTGTCTCCATTCCCTCAACCGGGAGTCCAAAGCTGGCCTCTCTAGGGGGAAGATGAACTGATTGTCCGTCTTCCCCTGGGCTATCTAATGTCTCCTGTTCAGCCTGTCCTATCTCATCTTGCCCCAATCCTGGCAGACCCTCATCTTCATCCCTCTCCCTTTTCACACTTTGATTCACCTCCTCTCCTTCGTCTTTCTGTGTTGCCTCTTTGCCCCGGGCTTCCCCTTTGCGTTTCAGCGCTCCCTTATCCCAGTAGATGCTTTTTTTCTTTTTTCTTTTTTTTTTGAAGCCCTTTTGCAAAGCGTCTATCTTGGTGGTGGTAAGAGAACCGAGATTGAGGCTTTGCCTACTGGACTGCTCCATCTATTGGTGGGGAGCCTCACCTGCCAGAAACTGGGTCCAGCGTCCCTTAACACAGAATCCAGAGTCCAAATAACGTGTAGCGGCAAAGCTGCATGAAATTGCATGATGTTTATTTAACAGGGGCATAGTTGTTTTCTAAGTTCATGCCAAAACGAAAGGGATGCTTGTTATCTTCATTCTCCATGTCAAGCTATTAAACCACCAGTCGGACAAGCCTAAATGGACAAGCCTGGCCACCGGGCCTGGCCAAAACGAAACGTTACTCCCACTGGGTCACACCGACATTGATTGAAATACATCTCGGATTTGGCACAAATGTTTTTTTTTGGCCATTTTGTTTTTTGTTCCCCCCACCCGCCACCCCCACCTGATAGCCTTAAGCAGCATCCCAGATTCTTTTCAATTATTTTTCATCTCCAGAAATTAGAGTCAAAAAATGCGGAAGTCAGGGTACTCGGAATTTTGCACATCCCCCGGTAACCCCCCTTGGGGCTGGTAGGCTGAGCCTTTTGTTTTTTTCATTAGCTGTCTCCACCGAAACAAAATGTAGTGTAGCCTCCGACAAACTGGTGGCTTAAATGCCATTCAAGTTCTTAAAACATGGTGACGGCATGGGCCTGTATGATATGCCGAATGCTCCTCGCCTTGTTATTTTGGGCAGTGCACTGAGCGTGCAATCGTTTGCATTGGAAGATGGTTGGAAAAAATGCTTATGAAAGCGTAGTCTGCATGGACCCTCGTGTGTGGCTGCATAAATCTAAGTGAATACAGCACTGCGAATGGGCTTTTTGTAACATACATCCAATAACATGTAGTGAGGGGAGCTTTTTCATGGTACTGCCTGCAGATTGGTATCATGTAATCAAAAACATTTCAAAGACTTCTGTTCTTTTTGCTGGCTCCTGGATCTTTCCAGGGGTTTGCATTCGCCTCTCTGATTGCATGTACCGGAAGCTAGGGTCGTATGGCCCTGCGCCCAGTTTTGTTGTGTGAGCTGATCTGTTAGTATGCGAAGTGCCTGTGATTGCTGCAGTGAGGATAAGAATCTTGGTGAAACCTAGACTTGCCAGTCCGCCACAGCTCATAGTACAAGCAGGCTGAATCAGCTAACATGTGCTTGGTGCAATGGCAACGTTCCGTTGTTCTGGTTACTACCGGATCTTTCCAGGGATCGCATTTGCCTCTCTGATCGCATGTCCTGGAAGCTTAGGTTGTATGGCCCTGCTCCCATTTTGTTATGTGAGCTGATCTGTTAGTGTGGGGAGTGCCTGTGATTTCTGCAGTGAGAACAAAAATCTTCGTGGAACCTAGACTGGCCAGTCAGCCACTGTTCAGATTACCAATCAGGCGGAATCAGCTAACATTTGCTTGGTGCAATTGCAATGTTGGATTGTTACTGTGAATGGTAGCGAAGAAAACTTTGATGTGGTGAGGGCGCAGCAGATTCTTGATGCGGATCATTATGGCCTAACAGACGTTAAGGAGAGAATACTCGAGTTCATTGCAGTGGGAAGGCTCAGAGGATCTACGCAAGGTAAGCGAGTTTGCCTGTCATATATATATATATATAGGATGTTCAGTGGCTCATGCACACGAATAGGATGGTAAGCGAGTTTGTCTGCATTACGGTCTCTGAGCTTTTAGCCGTTCAGTATGTGTGCTTATACCTAGAACGGGGAATACCTTTTGTCTCTGGTAGGTGACGAGGATGTGAGAAGAGCTCGTTGCCATGTTGTTTTCAGTGTTCATTTGTTAGTGATGGTGTGTGCCATGGTGTGGTGGTACTGATGTTCTCTGAAGCAGCATCGAGCTTTGATTCAACAGTTAAGTAATCGTACTAAATGCTCACTTGTTTACGGGGTCCTTCAAGGCATTTAGGAATGGGGTTGGGAGAAATATAACGAACGTGGAGACGGTGGAGGTAATTCCATTTCGTGTGTTGCAAGTCTTGGAGTTCCTTTGGCTACTGTAATGGGCATCGATTCCTCCTTCTACCTATCTGGTGGAACAGGAAGCATGTGCCTGTGGCTCTAATCGGTGCATCTCTTCGTCCTTTCGTGAGTCCTTGTTGGCAAAACCCTAAACCCTGGCGGTAGGTTTCCATGGTCCCGGACCGTAAGTCTCCGTCTGCTTTTTAAGCCGTGTGACCCGGCCTCGGTTTTCGATTTATGAATGAGATGATTCGGTTTTGTTGGAAAAAAGAAAAAAGAAAAAAAAGAAGAAAGCATGTGCCTGATTACTCCCTGTTGCAGGAGGATTGACTGTCAGATTGGCCTTCTCATGTATGATGCTTCAGCCGAACGTGGAAGGATGCGTGAGTGTGTAAACGATGTATCTGAGGATTTTGACTTGCCGGGGGAATAGGAACCGGGCTGACGCCCACCAGAATGGATATGGAGCCAGAATCATAAGGGCCTGCTTTATTGGAGGGGGGGGAGGAAGCATGTGCCTGAGCCAAATCAAGAAGAAGTTTAAAGAACTCTGCAGGTTCATGTGATTCCAGTCTGTCTGTTATCCTGTACACGGGAAGGCTCATGTCAGTGCAGTTCACCTTTTTCTGCATTCTGATCCCCCTCCTCTCCCAAGAATTTGCACATTTGTCTGCTCTACTCACTTGTTTTCATAGGCCATGGCTGTGTAATTCTGTGCACTGAATTCCATGTCATCTCGGACTGATGGTGGTTGGGTGTGTCGACCATGCGGTGGGCTTCGTCGGGGAATTGAAGCCTTTTCTAATTGGGTGTCAGTGTTTCACCGATCGCTGTGGTGCTCCTGAGGAATTTGTGGGAAGTGCAGTTTGATCAGGGAAATAGAAATGAGAGAAGGGAAATCCTGAAAACATAGGGGGCTCGTAAGGAATGTTGTGTGTGGTTTAAAGTTTAAACCACCACTCCATCCGGACCTATTTTGACAAACCAAAAGTTGCATGGCCCCGAGCCTAAGATCTACAGTGCCTCCCATAGGGGAAGTGATTGTGGTACTGAACCTGGGCACTGTAGATTTTGGCCCGGTATTTGTAGACAAGAAAAATGTACAGTGCAGGGGGCCGGTGTGTCCTTTCTACAGTAGATTTTGGCCCGGTATTTGTAGACAAGAGTAATACAGTGCAGAGGCTGGTGTGTCCTTTCTTGCTCTTTTGCACGAAAAGATATAGGCGCAGTGAGACCGGTGTCTCCTTGCTTTCTCTCTTGGGACCAGTTTTACTTATTTATTGCCGACTGTTCCTGGGCTCCCATCTGGCATCCCTTGCATGTTTCCCCTCTTTTACTCTACTTTTTACGGCAGTATATTACAGGCAATAACAAAAGATGCATACAACAGTTGGGTGGTGGACCTGGTGGTAGTGTTTTTCTTTCCAATGTAAATTATGTAATTGTTTTGGTGCGTGTACCTATCTGTTGTCCGGTCTGCCGGGGGGGGCCATGCTGGAACTGTTTTGGCATCCCCCAAAGCCTGCCAATTCTGGGATAAGGTGACAGCTCTATGGCAAGCGGTGGTAGGTAAACCTATCCCAAACCATAAGTTTGTATTGCTCCCTGGATTCACCGCCCCGAAGCATTCGGAGACATATCAGGTCAATCTGTTTCAGAGGATGAGGTCCCTGGCGCTATGGGGGATCTGGAAGAGAAGATGCCAGGAGGCAATTGACAAGGCACAGCAACCATTTTCCCAAGCTGGAAAGGGTTCCTCCATCTGCATGAGGCAGGGTACTGGGTGGACGGGTGGAAAGTCAGAAGGGAGATGGACCAAAACGATGGCAAAGCTCAGGAAATCCAGAACAACTTCTCAACAAACCCTTGGAGGCGGGCAGGATCGGTCGCGGCTAGGAGGAGGAAGCATCCATTTCAAATGGGCCCGACTTCGGGGAGGGGATGACAGAGGTGGAGAATGAACATGTAGAAGAATCAGTGGACAGATGTCTGAGCTCGGCCGGGCTTAGTTTAGTGTCCAACTCGGGCAGTACAGTAGGGAGGAGGGACACTGGGTTCGACCTCCCAGTGGGGGCCATGGAACAGAGGGACGCTGGACCCGGTTTCCAGCAGTAGGAAGCCGCCCCTTTGGGAGAAGGAGCGGAGGTAACGTCCGTGTCTGGTACGGGCAGAGTGGTGGTGAATCACTTCCCTGATGGGGAGGCAATCAATGCCACTGATTTGCGATCCTTCAGCCATAATGGAAGGAAGCATTGAGTGGGCATTGAGTGGGTAATCTATGCGAGGGACGCTGGACCTTCTTTCCAGCTCATATTATAGATATTTTTCCTCAGAAAAGACGTATTGAACTCACTGGTTTGGAATCTTAGATGCAATTCACCCATCAATGTATACTTGATACTCACCCCCTTCCCCCCCCCCCCCCCCCCCCCCCCCCCCCCCCCCCCCCCTCTCTTTAAAGGGTGACGGCCCTGAGAGATCTGGCCCCAGGTAACTCAGAATGGTCTTATTCTGGTTTTCTGATTGTATCTGGATTTGAACTTCGGTCTGTATGTCAACATTCGTATTTGTACCGACTGAGCTAGGCCCGTTGGTGTGTATGGTTTTTACTGACTTAATAGTCAGTCAGTAACTCTATATTACAAGATGGTCTAGAATCTAGACCGAAGTTGAGGGATGAGCCCGCTTAGAATCCCTGTGCGTATCTCTTTCATTTACCACCCTATGCGTATCTCATACTATCTCTTCATTTACCACGCTGTGCGTACCGGATCAGACCGCCAGGGGCAGGTACAACATGTTCTTCTGAAAGATCTGGATTGTATAATCTTGTGGGCTCTTTGTTAATGTGTGCAATCCTAGGACACCTTAGTTGCTCCAATCTTTGAGGGGCCGCCTCAGTAATTGTCAGTCATTTGTTGTTTCTTCTCTTTGAAGTTCTTACGAAGAACCATCTGCCTGTTTGAACCAGTCAGTTTTGGCATTTTAGGAAGAACCAAGTGCTGGCCGTTCGATTGCAGATGCACGCATTTTTTAGGCAACTTAGTTCCTGCCTTAAGGACTTGCCCTAAATGATTATGTTCTTTGTGGTCTTGTCTCCTCAAATTTTGTAGGAAAAATCATCTGCTTGTCAGGACCGCCTGGTGTTGGCAAAACAAGCATCGGGCGTTCGATTGCACATGCACTGAATCGAAAGTTCTATCGGTTTTCTGTTGGTGGACTGAGTGATGTTGCGGAGATTAAGGTACGTTTCTGACAGCTTGGTCTTTCATGGGTTGTCATGCTGATTTCGTACGTTCTTTTCTTTGCATGTCTCTGCTGTTTCAACCCCAGACAAACTGTGGTTATTCAGAACGTCCGGTCATTATAGCTGCATTTGGTACAACTTTCAGTCCAGATGCAGGGATAATTACCGGGCGTTTTATTTGGGCGAAGACGGTAGGAGTAGCATGGACTGTTGCTGGTGATCTTAAACCATCAATGCTGTGTGGCCCAAGTGGGTCTTGCAGTAGCGTATGCACCCCCTTGTAAGCCCGACCCTTTAATGGTTTAATAGTTTTAATAGTTTTATACACTCAGGGTGGGATGGGAAGCATTATACTCTTGGAACCACTGTTGATAAATTTCATCCAAGTCGATAAATTTCATCGGCGGACTTATACTCACTGTGAAAGGTAATGATAGTTTAAGGGGAAAAGAAAAAAGACTGGTCTATTCCTCAATTACTTGGCCTTTAAGCGTAACCGACAGTTGATTTGACTGAGAGCAAGTGGAAAGGAATACCAAACTGACAGTCAATCCTCCCACAGTTTAGCAATCAGTGCTGTTCAGATGTATCCGTCGGCCTCAAACAGACCGAAGCATTGGGTGTGTCAAGCTATGTAGTTCTCAGACTTGCCAGGGTAAAGGAACCAGAGTGATGCTCTCCAGAAGGGATATGGAGCCAGGACCATAAGGACCTGTTTAATCAACTTCAATTTTTTTAATGTAAAAAAAAAAACAAAAAAAAAACAAAGAACAAAACGAAGCAAAAAAGAGAGGACTGCATGGGCTGCTTGCAGCTGGAGGACGCACATAAATCAGGCCAGAATTATGCAGTGTGTCCATTCCCCATGGTGACGCCGGACCGTGATGCCATACGGGTCTTGACGTCCGGCTGGTCTTCCGTATGGATCCACTCGAACGTTCACGTAACAAAACCTGAACTAGACATCTCGACAGATAAAAGCCGAACTGTCTGTCCAGATAGGTGTCCGTGTGTCTGGAAATGTCTGGAAAGTGCAAGCAAAAAAGTACTTGTAGATATCACACAACGTCCAAACTTGGCTGATTGTTGCACTTCTCTGTTTTTCACTTAAAATTTAAAAAGAAAAAGAAGAAAATACAGCCGTCTTCTCCTCATATGGGGGACGAGCTGTATGTGCTAGCATATTTTCTTCCCTCAAATCTTGTAGCTACCTCATCCTTAACTACCTACCTACCCTTGTGTAGTAGTCCGACCATAATCCCTACCTTAATCCAGTAACGGGAAGCAAGCTATTCCACTGGTTCAGGACGAGATTGGAGCTCGGAACCAGGGCTACTGTCTACGACTACCTGAAATTTACTTTACCAGAACTAAGCTATCCTCAGGTTATGGGTCTACGTGTACCTATCTCTGCTCTGTGCGGGGATCAGTAAACAAGCTCCTAACACCTGCCGTGGGTTGGTACAGACAAACAGCCAAGAGGGCCAAGCCAACAATCTCTGCTGGTCACCCCGAAGCATCTCCCAGGAGGCCGTGGGGATCGAAAGCACGATCTTGGGTATCGAACCCACGACCTCCTGAGTGCCACTTCCATGCTCAACCAACTGAGCTAGCCGGCTTGGGCTGGATGATGGTTGCACTTCATACCTACCTCGTGCCAGGATTGGACCTGTACCTGTGTACATTTTCTTCAGACAAGTTCAGGGTCTTCAGACACAGTTGACTGTTATTGAACAGATCGTCAGTCAGATCGCAAAAGCGGGTACACAGTGCGGAATCGGTGCAGATTGAAAACACGTTGACACTTCGGAACAGAAGAACACACTGCAAATAAGACTTCCAAAACAGAAGCAAAACAGATATGACAAGTTGAAAACATGCCCCGATACAAATCCGCTGAGCTGCATCATTGTGCAGTCCACATCTCTCTCTCTGTGGCTCTCTCTCTCTCTCTCTCTCTCTCTCTCTCTCTCTCTCTCTCTCTCTCTCTCTCTCTCTCTCNCTCTCTCTCTCTCTCTCTCTCTCTCTCTCTCTCTCTCTCTCTCTCTCTCTCTCTCTCTCTCTCTCTCTCTCTCTCTCTCTCTCTCCCGACAAAAATACTGTGCCGCTCTAGGCTGTTTGGCAGCAAGGGGCTCTTATTCAGAATCAGAGGCTGAAGATTACGCGCTGCTGCTGTCATTCCTGTCATCAATCCTCACCTGGATCGCATCCACTTCTCTCTCGTCGGGGTTCTCCGTGATGCTAGCATTGGGATGGGAGTGGAATTTCGACTGAAGTATTAAGCTTATTGTATTGATGAATCAATGATGATCTCATTTCTTGGCTCTGATGTTTTTTGGGTCATGTTCTAAAATTTGGGGTCGGCTTTCCATTCAATGGACCACCTGGATGTTTGTATTTTATGGAATATGCGTGCTTTGAGATTGTTGTGGTCACCCTTTCCCTTTCTAGCTTCTTCACTTTTCCTACACCATTAAGTCGTCATTTGAATCGGAGTCTACTTCAATCTATTGATGTATAACATCTTTATGTCTGGCTTCTGATTGCCTTGGTTTGTTGTTGTCTGGTCTGGCTGAAGGGGCACAGGCGAACCTATGTCGGTGCGATGCCAGGAAAGATGGTCCAGTGTCTCAAGGCCACTGGAACAGCAAACCCTCTGGTGCTAATTGATGAGATTGATAAGGTATGTATTCAGTATGTACACTCAATCTGAAGTAGTGAACGGATCTACCTTCCTTGCTTGACCAGGTGTTTCTGCCCCTAGCCAAGGGAGACATTGGTGGATGGAGCTAAAGTGAGGAAAGAGGAGTGTCTAGAGTCTAGACGCATGATTTTCACTTCACAACGCGGCACTCTTTTCTGGTTTTTCAGGTGAAAGAGGTCTTTTTAGGAGGGTTTGGAATGTTGAACTTGTTGATCAACATCTTGGGCTGTAAACCCAACCGATTTTCAGCCGCTTTGGAGCTGTCAGAGAATCTCCTTACTTTGTTAGGGAAGGCCCAACCCTGTATCTGCCCTGATTTGTGCAGGGTCTTTTCTTTTGCTCCTTTAAGGGGGCCGCCCCTAACTTTCTTGTGTCCATTGGACCTCCTTTACTTCCTCTTCACTAACAGTTACATTTGTATACGTTTTCGCCACATGGGCTAGGTTCTGACTCATGCACCACCCACAATGGTAACAGCAGGTGTTTTCATGATGGCAAGGTGTTCTCCCTTTCTTGATGCACCCAACGCTTTGTGATTGTTACTTTTATGAGTTCAGTGGTATGTCAGCACTGCGAAAGGCGCACACTCTTCTTGTAAGTTCTATCTCGGTGGTACACTCGTCAAGGGTCGGGCCAGAGAGAGAGAGAGAGAGAGAGAGGTGTATCCCGCTTCAGCCAGGAATAGACGAATGGCATCATCCAAGCATGAGAGCCGTGAACGGCTCTGCCGGTAGGCATGCATTGACTGCAATTCCTGCCTTGCATGGCGTTTTTTGGCAGTGTGTATGTTACTATGTGCAGAATCGTTTTGTCCTATGCTATTGTGTTCCACCATCTTTACACCACTATCATGTTTCACGGCAATCTTTCAACCGTGAGGCCTGCCTTTTCAGTTGTGATTTGTTCTAGAGATAATCGCAGGTTTCCTTCCTTTTTCCTTTGTTTACAGGGTTTGGTCCGATGTTTCAGAATATAGTGGTGGTTGAAGACCTGCCTCCGACCCTTGGTATACTGAAGACCAGCATTAATTCGAATCATGAAGAAAATATGTGGAATCTTGTGGATGTATCGACAATATCCTTCCTTCATGTTGTGGTACTTGTTCCATTCAACCGTGGAGTAGCCCACACAGGAAAATTGCGTTTTTACTCTTGTGAGCTCTTGAGGATAGAATCCGTTAGAAGTTTGATCTCTCGAGGTATGAGGTAGAAAGTTTGGTCGTTGAGGCTCGAAGGTGAACGAAGCCCTGTTCTCTTACGTTGTTTAAAAGTCGGCTGTTTCTTCTTGCAGTGTTGTTAAGTATATCGCCTTCGTGGCAAAGGCTCTGCTGCAAGTTTATTTTTTGCACCCATGAGCTCTGTTTTCTGACTTACCCTTTTGAAAGGATTGAATTGGACGCATAAGAAGAGTTCATTGAACTCTATCATCACTAGTAACTCGCCTGTTTCTTCTTGCAATGTTGAAAAAGCATATCTCTTGCAATGTTGAAAAAGCATATCTCCTTGCGTGGCAAAGGCTCTGCTGCAAAGTTTTATTTTTTTGCACCCATGCTCTCTGTGTTTTGACGTTACCTTTTCGAAAGGATTGAATTTGACGCACAGGAAGGACTTCATCGGACTCTATCATCATCAACAGAACTGGGAAGTCAGGTTTGCAACCAATCACAGGGGAGTCTCACTGGGGAGTCCATTGCACCCTGTTCTTCTTACCCGTGACCGACTTTCAAATGAAACTTCCTCCTGTCTTATTCGTGTTATTTGCAATGGCTTGGATGTGGCCATGCAGGTTGAACAGGGGAGAGACTGGTGTTCTGTTGGACTCTGTTCTTCTTACCCGTGACTGACTTTTAAATGAAACTTTCTCCTGTCTTGTTCGTCGTATTTGCTCCAGCTTGGACATGGCCATGCGGGAGATCCAGCCAGTGCATTGCTTGAACTGCTTGACCCAGAGCAGAATGCAAACTTCCTTGATCATTATCTTGATGTGCCAGTCGATCTTTCAAAGGTTTGTCTAGAGGACATTGCTCCTACGACCAATACTTTGTTATAAGTATAATACTTTAATCGACATATGTTATAACCTGCTAAAACAAGCCCAAAGAATGGATTTTAATCACCTTCTTTTTCCGGTGTGGAGCCATTGGAACTCTCTGGCGCAACTTATCATTGCTTTGTTTCTGTTGCTATTATGTTGGCTGAGGTTCAACTTATCATTGCTTTGTTTACGTTGACATATCCACAAATCCATGCGGTTTCCCGAATGCTCTATACAATCTTTTACTGCATGGATTCGTGGATATCTCAACAACATCATGCATGGGTCTTCCATAGAGACAACCCGGGGTGAACAACGAAAGAAGCAGTTCCGTGTCCTTTGTGACATGAATCAATGAGGAACGCAGTTGAAATGACAGCACTAACGGGTAAAGGGGTTTAAACGTTAAAGGGTAGGGGATGAAAGTGAGGTGCCTGAGGTTGACGTCCTTGCTTTCTTTTTTATCATCGATTCATGGTTGCATCCCTGCCGACCGCCGGCCGTATTGCAGCCGACAACCATCCACTAATTTTTTTTCAGATCTGAGTTGGAAGCTGTACTGCGCTTGCTGAGTACAGCCCAAATCTGCTGAGAAACTTTTGGGGATGGGGGGGTTGGGGGTGGGGTGTATAGGGGGATATAGGGGAGTATAGGGGTGGTATAGGGGGTATTGGGGGCCGGTTTGTGGGTGTTGGGGGGGTGTATGGGGGTATTTGGGGTGGGTATGGGGTTATTAGGGGTTCTG